TTTTCTGGAGGGTTTAGTCCTGTCTAGGTCAAAGGCTAATGCCCTTCTGACATTGAGTGTACGTAATGCCACATATTTCCCTTATTCAGATGTGCTTTAGGGGAAAAATGGAATGTAGATAGGTTGGTTTATGTGGACATCCAAGGATACCTTTGGTAGGAACTTGAGGTATGGTTGTAATGTGACCTTATCCTTAAAAAATACTGTGAATGGAGGCTATGCCATCAGAGCCCCTCTCTCTCCCACTCTTCAAGCAGAAGTAATGGCTATGAGAAAGGAGGGAGCAGGTAGCCATACTTTCAAAAGGAGGGGCCTCATAAGGCATGTAAGCACCCAGTTGATGTCCCAAACTGGAGTAGGGCATGTGACTTGTGGAAAGAGGTTTCCCAGTCCACTGAGGAAATATCATCATTGCAGGATGACTCAGCATGAAAAAACCCTCCACCATAGAATGGAAGGCTGTAATAGCTGCCAAGTGTACTCTAACGGAGCTCAGAGACAACCACGTCATTTTTAGATCAAAAATGTAATCTGGTATATCTGACAGCAGAGAGGAATTAGGTGAAAGATGTCAGTCACAGCAGTGACTGAATCTCATCCACATCTGTAGGCAGGTATTAGGGGTGGATTGTTTCCTACTATATAATAGCACTCTCTTTACATCTTCAGAACAGATTGATGTTTCTAGTCCTGCAAACCAATTAGCCATGCCTTGACTCAAAGAACCTCAAGGCTGGAGTAAAGCCTTTGACCGGCATCCAGATAGAGAAGATGGGGATGGTCCTGAGAGTGATCAGTCAACCCATAGCAAGCTTGGTGAGGTAAAGGAACTATGTTTGTCTCGGCCATGTCGGAACTACGGCTGGCCTTGTCTTTCCTTACTTTGATCAATATTTTGGATATCAAGGGAGCTGGGGGAATGCATACAGGAGTCAAGTGAAGGAAGAAGACATCTCCCAAGGAGCGCCAACCTAGTCCGCCTCTCAAGCAGAACTGGAGCACTTCTTGCTCTTTACCGTGCCAACTAGACTATCTGCAGGATACCCGAGCCTCAAAATATGTAGTGGAGTGGCATGGGATCTAACTCCCATTCATGATCTTGTGAGAAATGCCTGCTGAGGGTATCTGCTGTGAATTTTTGCACACCTCTGCTGAGGTGTAAGCTGCTGAGATGTTGGTCTGACTTCAAATCACCAATTCAAGAGCCTCACTGCTTTGGCACAGAGGGAAGGTGATCTATATCAACTGTCAAGGGGATGCAAGAACATGTTTGACATGTTGTCTACCATGATCTTCATATATTTGTCCCTGATCAGTGGAAGGAAAAGGAGACAGGCATTTCTGACTGCTCTGAGTTCCAGTAAGCTGATGTGCAGAATAGATTCAAGAGATGACCACCTGCCTTGAGCAGTGTGAGTGTCTAGACGGGCTCCCCATCCCAATAAGGAGGCATCTGTTGTTATTATTAGCGTTGAAAATGGTTGAGCAAAAGGGACCCCTGTGCAAACATTTTGAAGGTCCTTCCAACCAGTCGAAGGATTTTTTCCACAATGAAAGGCACTGAGAGTAGTTTGTTCCAACTGTGTTTGTTCACCAAATAAACAGTTCTGAGCCACCCCTGGAGGTCGAGCATGTGAAGTCTCACGTGGCTTATCACAAAAACACCAACTGCCATATGCCCCAACAGCTCGAGACAGTTTCTGGCCAATGTTTGTGGTCTGATCTGGACTCTAGTGACTAAGTTGGATAAGACTATGAACCTGTGCAGAGGGAGGAATGCTTTGGCCGCTATTGCATCCAAGTAGGCTTCTATGACATCCAAACTTTGTATGGCGGTTAGGGTAGACTTTTGGATGTTTAACTACAGTCCCAGTCTGAAAAATAGATCTATGGTCCTTTGAGTGGCCAACAAGGATTAGTTGTAGGAGAATCCCTTGAGCAGCCACCACTGAGAGAACTTTTGAGAACACGCTGGTGCTGAGGAGAGACCAAATGGGAGCATCCTCTCTTGGAAATGCTCTTTCTCCAGAGAAAAGTGGAGGAACCTTCTATGGGAGAGGTAAATCACTATATAAAAGTAAGTGTCCTGGAGGTCAGGGGTTGAGAACCAATCCCATTGGTCCAGTAAGGGAATTATTGCTACAAGAGTTACCACCCTAAACTTCTGAACCTTTACAAATCTGTTGAGTAATCTTAGATCTAGAATGGGTCTCCAAGTGCCATTCTTTTTTGGAACCAGGAAGTATCTGGAATAAAACTCCTTCTCTCTGTGTTATGTACGAACTGGTTCTATAGCACCCTAATTCAGGAGAGAGCCTATTTCCTGTCATAGAAGGTGCTCATGAGAGGGGTCCCTGAAGACATATAGGGAAGTGGGGTTGGATGGCGGGAGTGAAATAAAGTCGATGGAATTTCTTGTTGAAATCATCTTGGCAGAAGTGAAAGAGATGTTCATTGAAGTAAGGGAGACAAGCAAATGGTTGCAGTAGGTATTAATGGGAATGGTAACAAGCACTTTGACCACCCCATCAAAATTGATGTTTCTCAGTTGTCAGTGGTGAGGTCAATGCCTCAGAGGTAGATGGTCTCCTCTTCTGGAACCGTTGCCTCTTACATTGGGGTTTGTAATATCTCTGGCAGGAAACTGAGCAGGACAAGATCTCTGCACTACCTGGGACTTACTGAACTTTCTTTTCTGTGCAGGCGTGTAAATTTGCAGAGAACGCAACGCGGCCCTTGAGTCTTTTAAGGTATATAGAGACTCATCAGTCTTTTCTGCAAACAGCTTCGATCTGTCGAAAGGAAGGTCCCGCAACTGTATTTTGGACTTCCCTCAGAAACCCCAATAGCTGAAGCCAGGACCTCTTGCTAAGGTTGAACTGTTTGCTTGCCTTGCACCAGAGATTAACCAAAATCTGTCTGTGCCCCTATGACCAGCTAGCAGCACAATTGACAAAGGAGTTCTTTGTGTCAGTAACTACTACAAACGCAAGAGAGGTTCACTTTGCTTGCAGCTCAGCAGTCAGAATAAAAAGGAAAGATTAAATGTCGAGCAGCTGTACTTGCATCAGAGGGGTAACTTCTGTTTCCTGGGAGTCAGCAGGCCAGTCTTAGGATAGAAAGGACACCATCCCATGCGATTGTGGGATAGCAGTGGCAGACTCTCAGGACCCAAGTCTGACAGACCTGGGCCCAAGCTGCGTCCATACTGCAAAATGATGGAGTTTGGACCCGAGTCCCTGTGGGGCCCAAGTTCAAATCCTCTATTCCTGTAGAATCCTGGGACCTGGAGCTGAGTCAGACAGCTTGTGTGTAGATGAAGGGGATTTGGGTTGAAAACGGAGTCTGAGCCTGGGCTTACATTGCGATGTAGGCACACCCTTGGACTACTGTCTTAACTCTTGCACTCTCAGTCAGCCTATTCATTTCATCTATACAACCAAGCACACAGCAGCAATACTACAACTACAAAGAACAAAGAAGCTGCACACCACCACATCAAGAAGCGGCAATCTTCCAGCCATCACTGCTTCTACAACATAATCACATTACCCAATACTTTGACATGCACTGATGAGATGAAGCACTGCATTTAATTTTTTCTTGTAATACTTTTAAATGGGATACCAAAATGCTATTGTAATTTAAGGTATCAAACAACTTTCTCCTGTTAAACACCAGACTGTGTAAAGTTTAAACTATGTACTCCTGGAAAGGAGACATAAGCTAATCTTGGTAAAAGGAGAGAAATAGTGGGCTGTAATTTAAATTTAAGATTCTCAATAGTCTTTAATCCCAATGCCCCTGTCACTTCAAAAATGAAAATTATTATAGAGGTCAATATTCCACTAGGTGTAGATAGCTAATATAATGCCCGCTGCAGCACTTAAATCCTGTATTGAGGCAATGTTGGGTGATGGCACTGTGGTGCCTCAGGTTGGGGTTGATAAAGAGAATGGTTGTCCACGTGGGACCAACATGAAGGGCAGGGCTGGGGTAAAGTCACGGGATTATAACAGAACCTGTTCAAATGGTCTGAAAGATTTAAACACCCTTGTTTTCTTTCTTTCCTCAACTCGTCCTTTAACATCCCCATATTAGGCCACCTTTCTTCAGAACAAGCAGGGCCTGGACACAATTCCCTCCAGAATCTATCCGCTCTGATCCTGAAATTTTTAAGGAAAAGAGGGAAGGATTCTGCAAAGCAACATGGAAGCTGTCTCTGCACCACTCCCAGCCCCTACTAGGAAGGAAGGATCTAGCTTGAGTTTTGAATTTAGATTGCCCATGATGTGTCACACGTGGCCAGCCAGGCTGATGTAAAATATATGCATTTTAAATTAAATATACTGACTCACATGAGAAAGTCTGGGGATAGAAGTAGCAGAGCTGGAAGTAGGATTATACCTTGATCAGGATTCTATATCTCGTCTCAAAAATGTAGGGAAAGAATTTTATATCAAGAACATAATTTCTAAGATTCTACATTACACACATACAACTATACTGGATCAGATTATTAGTCACTTAGATCATCCAATCCTGCAATATGACTCTGATACACGTTTACATCAGATGCTTCAACAAACTCCCACCCTCCCCGCAGTAATGTATGCAGCTAATTGTGAAATGATTGGTAAGGGGCCCTTTTCTGCCCCAAGTTCACCAATTTATATTCTACAGTGTAAAGCTAGGTTTTCCTTCACTATATCAAATATCTATTTTTAGAGTTGGAAGACTGAGAGGAACCAGACATATCCATGAACGCTTCTGAGAGGAAAGTGCTCTGACAATGCCCACTTAAATGGCTGCACTTAAACACTCTCTTTCTTTCCCTGCTTCCACAATATCAACCTTGTATATTGAATTAATGACCTCCTGAGGTCTCTTCCAACCCTAATCTTCTGATACAACACTTCAGAAATTGAAAATGCTGTTATTTAATTGATTGATCTTTGAATAGGAAAAGGCAATAGATCTAAACAGGGGCTTTTCCTTACCTCATCAGACGATCCGTTTTCCACTCGGAAACGTCCAGCTCTTTGAATGGCTCCATCAGCATCACTAGATATAAGCTGTGAAAAAAGAGTAAAAGTTAGAGATACAAGTTCTGACTTCAAAAGCCTCCACCTAATCAGAAATTAAACAACAAATCAGCTCAGTTTGGCTTCCACCATCTTAGCCAGAGGTGTGCAACCCGTCCTTCCCCTGTCCCTCAAAGATAAGCTGAACTCAGAGTAATAATTATCAGTTTGGCCAACAAAAGACAACTTCCACCAGAAATTAATTCATTGTAGCTATAAGGACTCACGCAGGGGAGGGGCTCTTGTGTTCACCTCCTGGAGTGGCTTGCCCACTACAAATTACAAGTTTTTTGGGTCTCAAATTTTGGCTTCACTGACATGCAGGCTCAATACTGAGAGGCCTCGACTATGAGAGATGCAATTTCACTAACTGATTACCAGAAGACAGTTTTACATAAGGAGAGAAAACTAGGCTGCCTGGACCATGACACATGCATACTGTGACGGGCTGAACCGCCCTCCTGGGGCACCACCTGATGTGCTGGGGTCTCACTGAGTCCACCCTTTCCACCAGCATGGGTTTCCTCACCTTGTTTTTGCTGTGCTAGGCTCTCAAGCCTTCTCCAGCACACACACAGGTAAGGCCACACCAAGCTGCAGACAGACTGAAATCAGCTCCATGTGGGAAGATTTAGCTAGAAGAATGGCCAGCAGTCACATGCACACCTCCTTTGGAGTATAAACCCAAAATAGTATTGTCTTGCACTGTATAGCAAGAGCTGCACAGTGCAAGCTCGTAAAAATTGGCCCTCTCCCTCAATGTGGAAATAGATATGCACAGCTTTTTGAATCGCACAAACTGGATTTTGGAATAAACTAATAACTACAAAAGGTACATTTTAAAGTGATTATAAAGGACAGCAAACACAACAAAGCAGATTACTGAGCAAATAAAACAAAACATGCATACTAAACTTAATACACTCAAGAAACAGGTCACAAAATGTAATTTCTCACCCTAAATGTTGTTTTAGTCAAGCTGCAGAGTTTCTGTAGCTTAGAGTTCCAGTTATTTCTCTTTACAGACTGGACCCCTGTCTCAGCCTGGACTCAACCATGCCTTTCCCTTCAGGTGTTTTATGAGTCTTCCTTCCTGGGCAGGCAAAGGAGGAGAGTCCTGAATGCCTTCCTTCCCAGCCTTAAATAGAATGTACATAAGGCGGGAAGCCTTTGTTTCCAGCAGAAAAGTACCAGCAGTATCCAAAGTGGTATTTTGTACCAGGTGACCTTATCACCTGACCCCGCAGTATCAAAGCAACCAGGAAACAAGGTTTATTTGCAATGTCCACAGGAAGGAACTCCAGGGAAGATAGGAAATCCACATCTTCGAAGACTAATTGTCTTTTCCTAATGGCCCATTAAGGCTGGTTGCTTAATGTGTGGTGGGCATTTCCCAAGTACACACATGGTTGTAACTGTTATAGGGTGGATAAAAATGAATGATTTTTTAAAAAATAAATAAAAAAAATCAGTTTTTTTTATTTAAATCAGATTTCTGAGGAAAACACCTAACTAAAGATAGTATTAATTAAGATACATTGAAGTTCAAAGATATCTCATCATGGAATACAGATTATAAATTCTAATTCTATAGTATGAGACAATATATTCATGTTATGTTTAAGAAAAGTTTTGTAAATGAGTTCCAATAGTTCATGGACTCGGGACCCAGTCTTGTGAGGTTCCAGGGGCTTCTGTATCGATTATTTAGGTTAATCTTTCTATCTACCCAATGGGACTCAGTGCTCAGTCTAGAAGATACCATCAGAGATGCTTAGTTTGGCAGTTCTCAAACTGTGGATTTGTGTCTCCAGAGATAACATGCTTGTTAACAGCAAAATCGGTTGTTGTTGTTTTTTTTAAAGTTTGTTTTTTTAAAAAACAATTTTAACAAAAACAAACTTGAATGTTTAACTAAATTCTAAAATTCATATGCTTGTTTTGTTAAAATATGATATGTTTGCTGTTGAAAAAAATTCAGAATACATAACGTTGCTGTTCTAGTTAAATAAAACAATTTAAATGTCTGTCTGGTGATGTTCTCCTCCTAATAACAGCATGGCAAGAAAATCCTCCAAATATTAACGATTAACCTGTTGAACTGGAGATAGTTCACCTCCCAATGACTTCATAAATATCTGCTTCAATTAGCTTTGGTAAATGAAATTACCAAACAATCATTCATTTTCTGATATAGCTGTAAAACTAATCTGAAAAGTTTTCAAAATAAATCACTTTAAAAATGTATAGTGTCTACCTTCTAAAAATGAAACCCACATCTATCTCTGAGTTGTGAAGAATATGTATTAAGGTTATAACAACTAACAAGAATGCACTTTTATGTAGAAATCCACAATTAAATTGAGTCTTCCTGACTAATGATTTAAATCATGATTTAAATCAAATCCACCCTGAATTGTTACATAGACAATATTCCTAACTTCTGATACAGAAATGATACATGCATACAAATTGGATAAACACATTCCGTAAATCATAACCTTTCCAATGATACCCAACACAACCTATCTTACATAAAGCATATTTTAGTTATGTCATATTCATATTATAACAATATTTCTATAAAGAATACGGGGTGTAACATCACATATACTACTGCAGGAGGAAGTGGCAGAGCACTATGCAATAGGCCCAAGTTTAACTCTTAATAAAGCAACCACAATAATTGGCATTATTCATAGTCAATAGATAGACATTAAAATAAAGTGTTTTTCTGGTGGGTGGGACCACATGTAGCCAATTCTAGGGGAAGCAGACACTCCGCTGAGAACTCTGGATGCATTCAGATTTATTGGATATTTAAATAATGTGGTTTTGCCTCATTCCTCTAGATACTTCTGACAACAATATTTTTCTCTTTAGGCGGTTGTGAACCTCCCTATTCTAAGTCACTTGTGGCATGTTAGCAGCAGAGTCGTGCATATTTCCGTAGAAACAGTGGTAAGAGTGGCAAGTAATAGCATTGATGCAATATACTTAGACCTCTGTAAGGAATTTGACTTGATAACACATGATATTTTGATTAACATAGCACATTAAATGGATTAAAAATGGGCTAACGGACAGGTCTCAAAATGTAATTGTAAATATGGAATCGAGGGGTGTTTCTCTAGTCGGGTTCCACAGGATCAGCTCTTCTTGGCCTTACACTATTAAACATTTTTATCAATGACCTCAAAGAAAACAAAATCATCATTGATAAAGTTTGCAGATGACACAAAAAGTGGGGGAGCAGTAAATAATGAAGAGAGCAGGCCTTTGATACAGAACAACCTGGATCGGTTGGTAAACCGGGCACAGGCAAATAGTATGTGTTTTAATAATGCTAAAAGTAAATGTACATATCTAGGAACAAAGAATGCAGGTCATATTTACAGGATGGAGGACTCTATCCTGGAAAGCAATGACTCAAAAAGATTTGGGGCTGTGGTAGATTATCAGCTGAGTTTAAACTCCCATTGTGACACTGTGGCCAAAAGGGTTAATGTTATCCTTGGATGCATAAACAGGGAAATCTTGTGTAGGAGTAGAGAGGTACTATTCCTCTTTTAGGCACACTGGTGTGACTGCTGCTGGAATACTGTGCCCAATTCAGTGTCCACAATTCAAGAAGGATGTTGATAAATTGGTGAGGCTTCAGAGAAGAGCCACAAGAATAATTAAAGGATTGGAAAACATGCCTTATAGTGACAGACTCAAGGAGCTCAATTTATTTAGCTGAGCAACGAGAAGGTTAAGGGGTGGTTTGATTACAGTCTCTAAGTATTTACATGGGGAATAAATATTTAATAATGAGCTATTCAGTCTAGCAGAGAAAGGTATAACAAGATCCAATTGCTGCAAGCTGAAACTAGACAAATTCAGACTGGAAATAAGGTGTAAATTTTTAACAGAAAGAGTAATTAACCATTGGAACAATTTACCAAGGGTCATAGTGTACTCTCCATCACTGAATTTGTTAATCAAAACTGGATGTATTTATAGAAAATAGGCTATAGGAAAAAAATTGGGGGGGGGGAGGGGGACTATGGCCTGTGTTATGCATGAGGTCAGACTATATGAAAATAGTGGTCTCTTCTGGCCTTGGAACCTATCAATCTATAAATTTAGATACTTGCTCCCATGCTAGTTACATGATTCATGACCTAAAACTTTTCAGCAATTAGAAACCTTTGCAGATTCACATTGTCGGAGTTGGTGTCCTGCTTCATGATCCCAGAACCATTCAAAGCAGTTTCAGTGTAGGACTCAAACATACTGACTCACAGTTCCAACTACAGTTATAGAATTGCCTTTATGAGTGTCCTCACTGCTTCATCTACATTAGCTACAGACATTCCACAGAAGCGGGGCACTCTGAATCTCTAGAACAGGGGTCGGCAACCTTTCAGAAGTGCTGTGCCGAGTCTTCATTTATTCACTCTGATTTAAGGTTTTGCGTGCCAGTAATGTATTTTAAAGTTTTTAAAAGTTCTCTTTCTATAAGTCTATAATATATAACTAAACTATTGTTGCATGTAAAGTAAATAAGGTTTTTAAAAAGGTGTTTAAAAAAGGTTTAAGGTATTTAAGAAGCTTCATTTAAAATTAAAGTAAAATGCAGAGCCCCCCAGACAGGTGGCCAGGACCCGGGCAGTGAGAGTACCACTGAAAATCAGCTTGCGTGCCGCCTTCGGCATGCATGCCATAGGTTGCCTCCCTGCTCTAGAAGCAGTGTAATCAGGGAACGCAAATTCTGTTAAGCAAGCTTTTTTACTCCCTCAAAAATGTTTTCATCCTGCCAAAATGAGTGGATGACGCGGCTCCAGAGTACAAAGAGTAGCACCGAGTAAATATATGAATTGAATTCTAAGTGACAGCCTTACAAATCTTGGCTACGGATACATTGGAAAGAAGCCATGGGAATGTTTACACGTTTGATTGAATGGGTTCTAAATAACCTCTGTGCACTAGAGGTCCTATTGTCTCTG